CCGGAAGCAGACTGGCCGAAGCAGAAGTTGCCAGGTCCAGATACAGAAGAAGAGTTGAGAGCGTACCTGCTTGTTCACGATGTTAACCTTCCTACTCCCGTAATCGACGTCAACAGAATTTCGAAGTGGACGGTGCTGGTAAGGACGATGGCTTGCGTATTTAGGTTTCTGTCGAACTGTCGAAGAAAGCTGAAGGGATCGCCGCTCGAAACGCTGAAACCAACGGAAATGCAAGCGCAAATCATTCTCCCGATCGATTATCCGACGTTGCGGACGCCACTGAATCAGAAGGAGTATGAGCAAGCGGAAATTTCGTTGATGCGGATGGCACAAGCAGATGCGTTCAGTAGTGAACTGAGGATCTTGATGAAGAACTTGCAGCTTCCGGCCGGGACGTGGTTGAAAATCGAGAAATCCAGCTTCATCTATAAGTTGACGCCGCTAATCGATGAGAACGGTCTCCTGCGTATGGAAGGTCGAACGGGATCAGCTGAATTCCTACCGTTTGACTTGAGGTTCCCGATAATACTGCCCAAGGACCATGCTGTTACCTGGAAAATCGTTCAGCATTATCACGAGCAATTCGGCCACGGATATAGGGAGACGGTGAAGAACGAGCTGAGACAACGATTCGTCATCCCACAGGTGGGTAGTGTGGTCGCTATGGTGGGGAAAGCTTGCATACAGTGCAGGGTTGCCAAGAGCCGCCCACGATGTCCTCGGATGGCCGCGCTACCAGTACAGAGAGTAACTCCGTATGTGCCGCCGTTCTGCTTCGTGGGGGTCGATTACTTCGGCCCAATAACAGTTACAACAGGCCGCCGCAGTGAAAAGAGATGGATCGTTTTGTTCACGTGCCTAGTAGTCAGAGCGGTTCACCTCGAAGTAGCACACTCCCTGACCACGCAATCGTGTTTGATGGCAATCAAACGCTTCACCTCCTATCGAGGTCCGCCATTAGAAGTGTTCTCGGACAATGGCACAAATTTTAAAGGAGCAAGTAAGGAGTTAATGGAAAATGTACGCAGCATCAACGTAGATTGCGCAGCGGAGGTAACATCAGCTCGAATGAAGTGGAACTTCAATCCTCCGGCTTCGCCCCACATGGGCGGAGTCTGGGAGAGATTAATCCGTTCCACGAAGCAAGTATTGGAGGCGATAAACGATGGGAAGCGACTGACAGATGAAATCTTGGTGACTGCGATAGCCGAAGCGGAGGACATCATCAATAGCCGTCCACTTACGTACGTGGCGCATGTATCAGATCATTTCGAAGCGTTGAGCCCCAACCACTTCCTCCGTGGAGTCGCTCCGAACGAACCAAGGTACAACGTAGCTCCCGTCAATTCAGCTGTAGCCCTGCGAGACTCCTATCAGCGATCGCAGGAGATAGCTGATGAGATGTGGAAGAGGTGGATTAAAGAATACGTTCCTTCCATCAATCAGCGTACCAAGTGGTTTGGTGAAGCAAAGGGTCTACGTTGTTGATGGCGACAAGCGGAAGTGCTGGGTACGTGGGATTGTTGAGGAGCCGATAGTTGCCGGAGATGGCAGAGTGCGCCAGGCCTGGATTCGTACCAACAGCGGCATGCTAAAGCGAGCGACAGCGAAACTTGCGGTGCTTGAAATAAATGAAAGTGACACTGGTCCGGACGTGACTTCCGGACCAGGTTCACGGGCCGGGGCATGTTGCGGCTTAAACCGCAGGGCACACAACGCAGTCACTGCCGCAGAGTGATCAACTGGAGTAGTTCGTTCTTTACAACAACACGACAGACGGTGCACTGACAAGAAGACAGAAGATAGAAAGCAAAACAAAAAAAAGGAACAATCATTTCACAATCGTTACAACGTGGTGGCCGAATTTATAAAGCAAATTTCATTAATTCTACCTTAATTGAGAAAAGTGCTTTGTTTAAATCTTAAATATTATTGAAATTATTGCTAATCTAGTAAGTACAAATTGAATCGTTAGTAGATTCTAATTAAAATAGGATAAATATTTATGAATTAGGTGAGTTCATGACCTGACCTATACGAGGGAATCGAGGCTGTTGGACTATACGAACATAGCAGAAAGTGAGTTTAAAAATCTCGTTAACTCTCATAAAAGACCCTTAAATGTTTAAAAATATCGATATCTTGTTGAATCTTAAACTAATTTATAAATAATATCTTACAAACTACATTTAATTAGAAAATTCAACTTGATACAAGTGCATTAATAGGGTGCCCATCCGCACGAAGAAGAGATTTTGCCGATTAAGAAACTAAATTGTAAGTAATTATACCTAATTTGTTGAAAAGATCTTTATATTTAAATATATACATTTTTAGCTTTGATCAGCACACAAACAAAACGTTTGATCCAAGGAATTGTTTCGGGATAAATCCCAACAAAATCAAAGAATTTAATCCTCAAGAGATGGATCCCGAGAAGAGAGATTGTCTGATGTGCAATGCTCCCAACAAGATCTGCGACATGGTGCAGTGCGATAAGTGCGAACTGTGGGCCCATTACTCGTGTGCTGGCGTTACGGACGAGGTGAAAGAGCAGGATTGGCGCTGCATCAAATGCAATAATGCTCTGCAGGTTCCGAAAACCCGAAAAACCAGCAAAGCCGAAGCCAAAAAGACGATTGGGCAAAAATCAAGGAGCGATGGTGGATCTTCCGTCGGATCCGTTTCGGAAAGCGGAGAAAACCTGGAAGATTCGCTGAAAAAGTTGGAAGACGAAAAACGCACTTAGGAAAAGGCCTTGGAAGACGAAATGATCTTGCGTGAGAAGCGACTGGAAATGACGAGGGCTCTACAGGAGAAACGGCGTCAAATGGAGAAGGCATTCCGTGAGAAACAACTGCAACAAGACCGAGAGCTGAAGGAGCGCCAGTTGCAGGAAGAGCACGAAATGCTGGAGAAAGAGTTGGCCGAGAAAGCATCTTTTCAAGATCGGCGCAAGAAGATGTACGAGGAGTTTGTAGAAGCGAAAATGACTGTCGCTGAGCCGGTTGCTGGTCGAGAAAAAGTTGGCGGTAACATTGCGAAGGAGGAAAATGAAACGTCCTTTGAGAAAAAGGTGAAGTTCTGGCTTAAAAAGCAGACAGGAGGAAAGAACTCTCCGCTGACCACAACGAAGCTAGTTGAGCCAGTTGCAGGTTCATCGAAAAATAAAGCAGTTACGCTGGAAGAAGAAGCAGGATCGGACGAAGATGAGGATGATGGATCGGAGGAAGGCGAGGATGAAGATGTAGAAGAAGGCGAGGATGAATATAAGGAAGGTGATGAGGAATCAGAGGATGAAGATGATGAGTTCCAGATATCCCGAGAGGAACACGAATTTCTTTCTCGCCTACTAACTGGTAAAAAGCGGCAGCCGTCGACAAAAAAGCTGCAGCAGTTTACGGAAAAGCAACAGCCGTCGTTGACAAAACAGCTGCCGACGATTCAGCAGCAAAAGACGTCACAGCGGCACGTTCATGCCAACGTTAAGTTGTCCAAAGAACAGATAGCTGCTCGACAAGCTCTCTCCAAAAACCTGCCAATTTTCAAGGGTGAACCGGAGTTGTGGCCTATTTTTATCAGCAGCTACGAGTATACCACGTCGGCGTGTGGTTACTCAAATTTGGATAACCTGAAGCGGTTGCAGGACAGTCTGCAAGGAAGCGCACTCGAAGCGGTGAGGAGCCGACTTATTCTTCCGGAATCCGTTCCCGATGTTATCGATGACCTCCGACGTCTTTTTGGGAAACCTGAAAAGCTGCTTAAAACGTTGCTGATGAAGGTGCGCAATGCTCAACCCCCGAAAGCCGACCGCTTGGAATCATTCATCCAGTTTGGGATCACGGTTAAACACCTTTGTGACCACCTCGAGGCGGCCCACTTGTCAGATCATCTCAGCAATCCGATGTTGGTGAACGAGTTGGTCGACAAACTTCCGCCCAACTACAAATTGGACTGGGTCCGATATAAACGGGAGAAAAGAGGGACTCCACTGCGAATATTCACCGACTTCACGAATGATATTCTTTCCGATGTGTCGGAAATTGTCGAGTTTTCTGCTCTCGGTCTGAACGAAGCCACTTGTCCCGTAAAAGGAAAACCGAAGAAAAAAGAATTCATTCATGTCCACGGTTCTGCTCCGAACAAGCCTGAAATTCCGAAGGAGGCAAAAGGAATCAAGCCGTGTTGGGTTTGCAAGCGGACAGATCACAAGTTACGATTCTGTGATGATTTCAAGAAGCTCAGCATCACGGATCGACTGAAGACGGTGGAGCAAAACAAACTCTGCGCGCTATGCCTTAATAACCACGGCAAAAGTCGATGCACCTTTAAAATCCGCTGCAACGTTGCCGGATGTCAAGGTGGACACCATCCTCTGCTTCATCGAGCGGAAGGAGTCGTACAACTGCTAAATGTCGAGTGCCACGCCCACGGACGGTTGAGTCGTGCCATCATCTTCCGTATGGTACCGATTACTCTATATTTCCGGAAATATGCAATGGATGTTCTGGCCTTTTTGGACGAAGGGTCATCCACTACGCTGGTGGAGGAATTTGTTATTAACGAGCTGAACGTGGAGGGGGTTTGCGAACCACTGGTGGTTACGTGGACGGGCAACGTGAAGCGCTACGAGAATCAATCGAAAAAGGTAAAACTCAAACTGTCGGCTATCGTTGAAGAACGCACGTACGGTGGCTGAGTTGAAGCTGCCGTGTCAATCCATGCAGTTCGAGGAGATCGCGGATCGCTACTCTCACCTGACGGATTTGCCAGTAGTAAGTTACGCTGCGGAGGAGCCTCGTATCATAATCGGTTTGGACAACCTACACGTATTCGCTCCACTAGAAACTCGAGTGGGTGAGCCTGGCCAGCCGATCGCTGTACGGTCAAAACTTGGGTGGACCATCTACGGACCAGGAAATCCTGCTGCGGCTGCTACTGCAGAAAGTTACATGAACGTTCATTCCGTCGAATCAATTCGGAACGAGGATCTTTATGAGATGTTGCGGACACAGTACTTGTTGGAGGACACCGGTACTTCTTGCTTCTCAGTTCCAGAGTCAGCTGAAAACATACGCGCCCGTGAGATTCTCCAAGCAACGACAGTGCGGATCGGCGACAGATTCGAGACGGGCTTGCTGTGGCGTAAAGACGAAAGAAGGTTCCCGGACAGTTACCCGATGGCGGCCCGGCGGTTACAGGCACTGGAGAGGAAACTGGAAAAAAGTCCAGATCTGAAGCAAAATGTCCACCAACAGATAGCGGAGTACGTGACGAAGGGCTACGCGCACAAAGCTACAGAGGAGGAGCTAGCTGGATGGCAGAAAAATGAGGTGTGGTACCTTCCCTTGAACGTGGTGCTCAACCCTCGGAAGCCGGGTAAAGTACGTTTGGTTTGGGACGCCGCAGCCACGGTAGGCGGAGTTTCGCTTAACACTGAGCTGCTCAAAGGACCAGACATGCTGCAGTCTCTGCCGACGGTGATTAATAAGTTTCGTGAACGCAGAATTGCATTCGGTGGTGATATACAAGAAATGCACCACCAGATGCTGATGAGGGCGGCAGATAAGCAAGCTCTGAGGTTCCTGTTCCGATCGAATCCGACTGATGTACCAACAGTGTACGTCATGGACGTAGCTACGTTTGGGGCCACCTGCTCCCCATGTTCGGCGCAGTTCATAAAAAACTTGAATGCTGCCGAGTTTGCGAACGATTTTCCACGAGCTTCGTCTGCAGTGATCGAGAAACATTACGTGGACGATTATTACGATAGCGTCGATTTCGTTGACGAAGCGGTAGAGTTGGCGAACCAGGTGAAATTCATTCATTCCCGAGGAGGTTTCCATATCAGGAATTGGGTTTCCAACTCCAAGCAGTTTCTGGAAGCGATGGCCGAACAGAAGTCGAATCCTGCTGTCCATTTCAGCCGGGACAAAACCACGCATACCGAGCGAGTTCTGGGAATCATATGGGACTTAGAAGAGGACGTCTTCCTGTTTTCTACCGATGGACGAGAGGAGTACCAACTGGTTCTACAAGGGGTTGAACGACCAACCAAAAGGATTGTGTTGAGTTGTGTCATGGCTATGTTTGATCCTCAAGGTTTGCTCTCTCCATTCACCGTTTTCGGTCGCATGTTGGTACAAGATTTGTGGAGGACTGGCTGCGACTGGGATGAAGAAATTGACGATGAATCATTCCAAAAGTGGATTCGCTGGACGAAAGTTTTGCCGATGATCGAGGCAATCAGGATTCCCCGGAGCTACTTTGGAGACGCTAGAATGGATCAGATCGAGGATCTACAGCTGCACGTAGTGTCCGATGCTAGCAAAGGTGCTTACGGGTGTGCGGCCTATTTTCGAGCTTTGGTGGGCGGAACGATCAGATGTGTACTGGTGACTAGTCGGGTGAAGGTGGCTCCGTTGAAGCCGCTATCAGTTCCAAGGCTTGAGTTGCAGGCGGCAGTGCTGGGGACCAGGCTGGCTTCTGCGGTGCGAGATGGCCATTCGTTGGAAATCAAGCAACAATTTTTTTGGACGGACTCTACCACTGTGCTATCGTGGATCAGGTCAGATCAGCGTAAGTACAAAGAGTTCGTAGGTCTTCGTATTGGTGAAATACTAACTCATACAAACCTGTCGGAGTGGCACTGGGTTCCAACGAGGATGAACGTCGCGGACCAGCTGACTAAGTGGACGAAAGACCCTGAAATAAGTTCAACCAGCAGTTGGTTCACCGGGCCAGAGTTTCTATATCTTCCGGAAGCAGACTGGCCGAAGCAGAAGTTGCCAGGTCCAGATACAGAAGAAGAGTTGAGAGCGCACCTGCTTGTTCACGATGTTAACCTTCCTACTCCCGTAATCGACGTCAACAGAATTTCGAAGTGGACGGTGCTGGTAAGGACGATGGCTTGCGTATTTAGGTTTCTGTCGAACTGTCGAAGAAAGCTGAAGGGATCGCCGCTCGAAACGCTGAAACCAACGGAAATGCAAGCGCAAATCATTCTCCCGATCGATTATCCGACGTTGCGGACGCCACTGAATCAGAAGGAGTATGAGCAAGCGGAAATTTCGTTGATGCGGATGGCACAAGCAGATGCGTTCAGTAGTGAACTGAGGATCTTGATGAAGAACTTGCAGCTTCCGGCCGGGACGTGGTTGAAAATCGAGAAATCCAGCTTCATCTATAAGTTGACGCCGCTAATCGATGAGAACGGTCTCCTGCGTATGGAAGGTCGAACGGGATCAGCTGAATTCCTACCGTTTGACTTGAGGTTCCCGATAATACTGCCCAAGGACCATGCTGTTACCTGGAAAATCGTTCAGCATTATCACGAGCAATTCGGCCACGGATATAGGGAGACGGTGAAGAACGAGCTGAGACAACGATTCGTCATCCCACAGGTGGGTAGTGTGGTCGCTATGGTGGGGAAAGCTTGCATACAGTGCAGGGTTGCCAAGAGCCGCCCACGATGTCCTCGGATGGCCGCGCTACCAGTACAGAGAGTAACTCCGTATGTGCCGCCGTTCTGCTTCGTGGGGGTCGATTACTTCGGCCCAATAACAGTTACAACAGGCCGCCGCAGTGAAAAGAGATGGATCGTTTTGTTCACGTGCCTAGTAGTCAGAGCGGTTCACCTCGAAGTAGCACACTCCCTGACCACGCAATCGTGTTTGATGGCAATCAAACGCTTCACCTCCTATCGAGGTCCGCCATTAGAAGTGTTCTCGGACAATGGCACAAATTTTAAAGGAGCAAGTAAGGAGTTAATGGAAAATGTACGCAGCATCAACGTAGATTGCGCAGCGGAGGTAACATCAGCTCGAATGAAGTGGAACTTCAATCCTCCGGCTTCGCCCCACATGGGCGGAGTCTGGGAGAGATTAGTCCGTTCCACGAAGCAAGTATTGGAGGCGATAAACGATGGGAAGCGACTGACAGATGAAATCTTGGTGACTGCGATAGCCGAAGCGGAGGACATCATCAATAGCCGTCCACTTACGTACGTGGCGCATGAATCAGATCATTTCGAAGCGTTGAGCCCCAACCACTTCCTCCGTGGAGTCGCTCCGAACGAACCAAGGTACAACGTAGCTCCCGTCAATTCAGCTGTAGCCCTGCGAGACTCCTATCAGCGATCGCAGGAGATAGCTGACGAGATGTGGAAGAGGTGGATTAAAGAATACGTTCCTTCCATCAATCAGCGTACCAAGTGGTTTGGTGAAGCAAAGAATTTGAAGAAAGGTGACTTGGTCTACGTTGTTGATGGCGACAAGCGGAAGTGCTGGGTACGTGGGATTGTTGAGGAGCCGATAGTTGCCGGAGATGGCAGAGTGCGCCAGGCCTGGATTCGTACCAACAGCGGCATGCTAAAGCGAGCGACAGCGAAACTTGCGGTGCTTGAAATAAATGAAAGTGACACTGGTCCGGACGTGACTTCCGGACCAGGTTCACGGGCCGGGGCATGTTGCGGCTTAAACCGCAGGGCACGCAACGCAGTCCCTGCCGCAGAGTGATCAACTGGAGTAGTTCGTTCTTTACAACAACACGACAGACGGTGCACTGACAAGAAGACAGAAGATAGAAAGCAAAACAAAAAAAAAAGGAACAATCATTTCACAATCGTTACAACGTGGTGGCCGAATTTATAAAGCAAATTTCATTAATTCTACCTTAATTGAGAAAAGTGCTTTGTTTAAATCTTAAATATTATTGAAATTATTGCTAATCTAGTAAGTACAAATTGAATCGTTAGTAGATTCTAATTAAAATAGGATAAATATTTATGAATTAGGTGAGTTCATGACTTGACCTATACGAGGGAATCGAGGCTGTTGGACTATACGAACATAGCAGAAAGTGAGTTTAAAAATCTCGTTAACTCTCATAAAAGACCCTTAAATGTTTAAAAATATCGATATCTTGTTGAATCTTAAACTAATTTATAAATAATATCTTACAAACTACATTTAATTAGAAAATTCAACTTGATACAAGTGCATTAATAGGGTGCCCATCCGCACGAAGAAGAGATTTTGCCGATTAAGAAACTAAATTGTAAGTAATTATACCTAATTTGTTGAAAAGATCTTTATATTTAAATATATACATTTTTAGCTTTGATCAGCACACAAACAAAACGTTTGATCCAAGGAATTGTTTCGGGATAAATCCCAACAACCTCCGTGCCCCTTATATCACAGCAAACTACGACCGACGGTGGTTCAAGCCCGGGTACAAAAATTTATTTAAATAAAATTACGTCACCGAAAGCACTTAACAATGTTTTCCAAACCAGATTATTTTATATATATATATATAAATATCTTATTCTTTGCGGTAGTCCCAAGTCAGAAACTGTTCACTTTCCGGGGGTTGCTAAACATGGCCAGTGTGGTCTGGGCACTTCAAATGGCTACCAGTCAACTGGATTTTGAATTCTCATTGCATTTGAGGTGTCACATGCTGGGTTTTATTCGCCGCAATACAAAAAATATATACTCTATCGATAACCCAAATTAAAGAACTATTCTAAAAATGGTTTGGATGATCCCTGAACACGTCGTTAAGCAAAATAAGCATACAAATTATATTAGTTCATTTTAACACGGATTTAGTCTCATGGCTCATGTTCCGGTCATATCTCCGGAACAAATTGACCTGTTCCAAAAATATCCAAAAGCATTCTATAAGATCTTAGTAATTTTCAATTGGTGGTTGTAGTGTCCTACTCGGTTCAGTGGTTCTCGGGAAACACGTTCCTTAAATTCGTGTTTTCAGATATTGTTCCGTGCATATCTCCAGAATCAGTTGATCGATTCTAAATATATTTCAAAACGTTCTATGAGACAATAACTCCTTTCATTTGGTGGGTGTTGCGCTCAATTCGGTTTAGAGGTTGCCGAGAAACACTACTTAGAAAAGACAGATTAAACGGGGGGGAAATTAAAACGATTTTCAGAGGGATTCTGAGTCGGCCCGGAGTCGGAGGGGTTTACCGATGAGAAAGAAAGAATATCTCTTGACGCCAGATTGTTCTAAACTACCTCCAACTCCAACCCAACTCTGCAGCCCTGTTTTTTTTCAGAGATATAGCATTTTGGAAACAAGCTTATAATAGGATTCTTTTTCTCGGCATGTTCTTTTGAATATTTTCAAAAGAAATCTGTATAGAATTTTAAAAACATCATTCGTTGGTTGTACAGTGTTGCCAAATATTTCTGTTTTGCTTTTGAAAATTGTAAATGCGATTTTCTCGCAGTGAAAGCAATTATATGTTGAATTTGATTTCATCTTTGTGTCTTATATTATAAGAATCACTTAGCACACTTCACGATTTGATGTTGCATAATTGTAATATGAACGTAAAACTTCTATTCACTCAATGCATAACGCAATCCTTTCTGGTGTCGATAACATCATCATACAAACATTTACTATACTATTACTATTTCCAAGAATTCGATTTATATAAATGGATTCCTTAAAAAAGCTCTTCTTATCTCTTATGGCATTCAGCCCAATTTACTCATAATGTGTGTCTTCCATAGACAGTTCTCCACCAATTAATTGTATATCCAAAAGTGCTCCATTAATAAAAAAAAACACGAAAACCTCTGATTCAATAAATATATCTCAATTTCCAATCGGTAGTGCAAACACAACATTCATAAATTAACAAGAAACTTCCCATCTCTGTCCTACATCGCTTCAAAACCAGGTCACGCTTGGTTGATTAAATTGTTTAACGCTCCGTGCAAGGATTTATGCCCCCAACGGCAGTAGATACTGCTGCTTCCTGAATTCCTGCCACCAAACCAGCAGAGTGCCGGTCTCGTGTGCGAAACAAAACCATATTCCCACCTACCAACGGCAAACTACGCCAAGAATAACACAATACTTGCAGTAACGTTACATGCTCTATTTAGACAACAGACTGCTGCTACAACGGCTACGGGGCAGCCACCACGTGTTAAATGTTCCGAAGTCATAAATCAGTCCCGGCAGTTGAATTAATTTTACGCTCTCGACTACGACGGCGACGATGCTCTGACCGTTTGACATCGCTTTCGTTGTTTTCGCGCCCGCGTTTGCATGTCACCGGCATTCGACGGTGACGGTTGTGACGGCGGTGCGGATGGAAATCAACCAAGCCATGCCACGCCAACCAGGTTCTCGTCTAAATTCACATCTTGCATAGTTTGTTCTTGCCTTGATGAGTAAAAGAGTCACCGGTTGCAGCTAAGGAATGTAATGTGCTCGTCAGGTTTGACACTAGAGCAACAGGGTTGAACTCTTAAATCTCACTGTAGAATTCTGCTTTCATTGAACATCGCAAACCCCACCAAGACAAGCTGCTTCTGTTCACAAGGGTGACGACAAATGGGCTTGTAATTAGTTCACGTTGTCACCACCGATTGCTGATCTCTAGGTCCGTCTGGCTTGGCACAGAACCACTAGTTGTCGTCGTAGTCAGGTCACCACCGACTAGACCCCGGTGATTTATCAATTCCCATTCAGCTGAGAGAGGTGACTAAATTTACGATGATTACCGGATGGCACGAATTTCCCATTTATCCCACCCATTGCATTTGCTTTAAAATTCATTCCTTTGTTCGTCTAACTTTCCGCATACACGAATAGAAAAAGAAATTAAAATCCGCATGCCTCAACTTGTTGACGACACGATTTTATGAGTCCTCATCCTGAATAATTTGTTCGTTTTGCCTAAAGCCGGAAGCGGAAACCATTCGGACTGCACTTCGGCTCGGACCTCCACCTTCGTTGGCAAACGGTGGGAAGTAAAACTAGGTCAAACTTTTCTGCTCTTCCCAAGCAGCATGCAAGCATGAATGAGTTTGGTAGTAAAAATTATCACAACAAAAGAAGCAAGGACATCACACAGCTGAAAATGCGTCGAGCATCAGCCGTCAGCAGCAGCGGTGGCTTGGAGAGGGAAAATGTGAGAAAACTTTATTGTTCTAGCAATGTGGACCACGCTCTGCCAAACTTGAATGGTGAGTGTAAGTGCGGTGATGCACGACTTAACATTTATGACTCGCAATACTATCGGATTGGGTGATAAGGGAAAACCTTTATTCTTTGACTTATTTGTGACAGGTTTAGCTTATGCTTTTATGTCGAATTTACCGATACACTGTTTGTTGATCGTTAGAAACAAACATGAGTGAGCCATATCAGGTACCTACTATAAAATAAATCTATACGCTCTAATGATGAAATTTAAATTTTTCGGGCATTGTTTAATTAAATTTTGTATGCAATGTACGACCTTCCAACAAACAAATCGTATATAACACTCAATAATGGCTTACACATTCAAAATTGGAAGTCAAATAAGTGTAAATCACCAGAAGCGTAGAAAACCACCCTGCTTTCACACTATATATGTAAACGTGAAAGTTTATTAATACTGTAAACCTTCATCTTATCGAAATCGATTAAATGAAAATGGAATTTGGTAAATGTAAAGTGAAAGAAGGAACTAAGAGTGTAACTAACAGAAACAAATGAAAACTAATTAAAATAAGAAATCACAAACTTTCACAAAACCAAATTATAACTATCTCTGACTTAATAAAAACTAATTATTAGTAATAAATATAAGTAAAAACAAAAATTGTAACAATATTGCACAATAATGGTTTTAAAATAGGTATTCTTACTTAAATAAATACCAGTGTTCACTCGGCTGTCGACAAAAGCAGGCCTCTCTCGATGTGTGCTACGCGATCGTCTGTTTTCTCGGCAGCAACCATTGTGTGGTCCTCCTCATTGTTCTTCATCAGCAGTTCTTTCGGTCGATGCGTCGTCGACTTTGGAAAGCAACCGTTTCGTGATGAATGTGTGAGTGCTGACCACGTTTTGCGTCCATTGCTGCAATGGACGCGCTCTGACCCTCGTTGGCGTACAACAATTTGCCATACAATGAAACTACTGGAAGCGGCTCCAGTTCTGATGGAGGAGGCTTTTTGGATAGCGGAAGATAAAGTGTTTATTGTGTTGTACCTTTTCACTATAGTTTTAAGATGTATTGTATAGTGACCAAGAATCCTCGGCTCTGTAAAGTTAATTCGGTTGAGCCTTATCAAATAAATTAATAAACAAAAAAAAAATAAATAAATACCAAACAAATACAGATCCAAAAAAACATAAAAATAATTTGAAACGATGAATGAGCGATGAGATACTGAACCGAAGCAAATAGTAAAAAACCATTAAGAATCAATGATAACGCAAATACGTTTAGGAGTAATCAAAATTGAGCATGATTGACCGCCCACGGTTGCTACTCTGTTATTGCCAGACCAGCTGTAATTACACAGAGAACCAATAGACGATGCTTGGGACTAGCAATCATCCTCAATGTGTAAATACTGGTGATCTAAAACTAGGCAATACCAGCGCCGGCCGCGCCCGAACATAGGTCAAGAAAGGAAAGGGTAGTAATGTGTTAACGTGACACTCGTTTTGATGGAAGCCGAGGAGTCCTCTG